CTCATCAAAGAATATAACTGAACCACACCGCAATATAGAAAACCGAACCGAATATCTTTTACTAAAATAACCAAACCTCACCGAAATGAACAATTTGACTCAATTTTCGATTTTGTTTCAAATTTTCTATACATTTACATTTAAATCAGTGTGGCTAGGTGCAGTACCAACCAAACTGCACCGCAATATATTAAAAAACCAAATTGAAGAATTTCCACACTAGATAAACCAAATCAAAATGCATTGAATGACATGGTTTGGATTTTTATTTTTATTTTTTTTGTTTCAACACGGTTCTGCTCACATTTAATTAGGTATATCTAACAGTTAGACAACTATACTTTTTTCAGCATATATATGTATACTTTTAAATTGACATTTCATATCTTAAAATTATGATATTTCACAGTACAATTAAAGTTTTTGTTATAAAAAAGATACAAGCTAACTTGTCTAACAGTTAGATTGTCTCACACAATTTTTGCTGGTCAATTGGGTTCCAAGGCGGGTCGGTTGAGAGAGGAGAAACCGGGTGGGTTAAGGGTTTTGTGATTTGAGGGGAAGGGTTTTTCCAAAATGATTTGTTTTTATAATAGCCGCTGCCTTTCATCTTCGTAGGGCGAAAAATCAAATTTCGCTCTTCTTCTGAATCTCGATTTTGTATCAGCGGTGAGTTATTCAGAATCCGAAGTGAACGCCGGGAATAATGGCAGCCTTTGTTCCTCCATCTCCTGCCACGGCGACAACTCCGCCGGCTGCCGGCTTAAGCCCGGCCGCTGCCGAGAAGCCTCAAGTGGATTACTTAAATCTCCCTTGCCCTATCCCGTACGAAGAAATTCACCGCGATGCTCTCAGTTAGTGTCTTGTGTCCTTTCCGGTTCTTTTTTTTTGGGTATTCTTTAGTTTTTTTATTTGAATGGCTCCTTGCATTTTCTTGAACTGTTGTTCTTATTTACGTGGGAGGTGGCCTTCTTGATTTGGTATCTGAATTGTGAAGTCTGGAGGATGATTTAATTTATCACTGTTAGCGTTATTTTTTTGGTGTTTGTGGGTGGATTCTGCTGTAAACCCTACCTGGAGTAAATCTATTTTGGAAGAATCAGTTGTTAAATTTTGCTTCTCTTTTTCGTTGATCGGCGGTAGGTAGCAGTGTAGCCCCAGCTTGCTATGATTGAGATTTGGGCTGATACTTGTGTTGAGTTTATCCATTGTGTGCTTGTTTTCTTAGAGCTCATGTTTACAGGTCCTTCAGCTATTCTTCTCACAGTTGGACGCTAAATTTTCTTATTCCATTGGTGTAACAAAGTATATAATCCTTAGATGGTCATTATAGTTCTAGAATTTGTTTCATTGTATAGTCAATAGCATTAGACAGAAGTTCAGGCTGAAAAGAAAAATGCCAGAGTCAGTCAAACTTGTATATCCATCTGCTACGTACTAGTGAATGTGTTGCCAGTTGCAATTTATGTACTACTTTGGTAGTGCAAGGAAAATATTAATGCTAGTTGCATTAATTGCATATGTTGTCAATTGCAATTATTGAGCTACTTAGGTAATGCTAAAACATATTCTGAACAACGTTAGTAGCATTATGTGAATATATTGCCAAGTGCAATAAGTGTACTACTTTGGTAATGCTAGAAGACATTGTGAATAATGCTAGTAGCACTAAGATATTATATTCATAATAATGATTTGTGGATTATGTTTCCAGTGTCCCTGAAGCCAGATCTCTTCGAGGGAATGCGCTTTGACTTTACAAAAGGACTCAATCAGAAATTTTCTCTGAGCCATAGGTGACCTTTCCATTCATTGTTTTACTTCAGTATTTTGATTAAATTTTGTTGTTCTCTTATTTCTGATGTATACCTCTCGGCTAAATGAATTTGTACTATATTCAGTTTGATGATGGGGCCGACAGAGATTCCATCTCAGTCATCGGAAACAATTAAAATCCCCACTGCTCAGTATGAGTTTGGTGCTAACTATTTGGACCCAAAGGTGGCTGCATTTTTCTCTATTTATTCGCAGTTATAACAAAACTATTGATTTCACCATCAACAGCATCTATTCTTTGGCAGTTAGTACTTATGGGGAGATTGATGACAGATGGGAGATTAACCGCAAGACTGAAGTGTGATTTGACTGAAAATCTGGCTCTGAGGGCTAATGCTCAAGTAGGAATACTATGTGTCTACTCATTTCACAGAATTTCTAAAATTGACACTTATCTAAAAGCTGTTGCAGTATTCTTAGTTCAAACGAAGAATTTAGTAACATCTTTTCGTTTTCTGTAGCTTACAAATGAGCCACATATGTCACAAGGCATGTTCAATTTTGATTACAAGGTAATTTTATGTTTCATAGTCGTAAGATTCTTGCATGTATATTTTTATCTAATACTTTTTGGACATTGCTCTTGATGAGATCTCATTCATCAATTGAATGAAGTCACTATAGCATTGGGTTGATCATTGATGTACTTGCTGTATGGATGTTTACAGGGATCAGACTATAGGACTCAGTTCCAACTAGGAAATGGAGGTTTACTCGGCGCAAGTTACATCCAGGTGAGGGATATAATACTCTATTTCAGACAAAGTTGATTCAATTAAACCTTAAATATGTTTATATGCAGACTAATGACCAACCGATTGATAATTTTCAAGTCTCTACTAGGTGAGATAGATGTGTGGGCATGCTAGGTTAGATAAGATAAGAATAAAAGTATTAGAAATAAAGTTGGGGTAGCACCCATAGAGGAGAGTGAGAGAATCACGATTAAAATGTTTGGGCATGTGTGTAGGAGACTTAAAGGCCCCGGTGAGAAGGGTAGAAACATTAGAATTAAGAATGCAAATTAAAAAGGGGAGGGGAGCACGATGGCGAAATGTGATCCATATAACCGACCCCGCTTAGTGGGATTTTAACGGCTTGTTGTTGTTTGTTGTTTATTACTTGCATAACGAGGCACCACCGGTTTGTTGTTGTTTGTTGTTTATTACATGATATAATACTAGAACTATGATCTCAATCAAACCATCAAAACTATTGCAAGTAATAATCCTGAAATTTCCAACCTTATTATTTGGGAAGTAGAATGTCCTTGTTTGTTTTATTCAGTCTACAAATATTATAAGTGTACAACATTCATCTCATAGGCTGATTAATAGTTCGACTTACCCAGAAAGTCAGAAAACTGATGCGTTTCCTGCGGTGAGAAAAAGTTTGGATGCTTATGGATGAATAAATTGACGAACAAAGCAGCTCAATGGGATCATGAGTGTAGAAAAAAATGTATAGATAGTAGCATCATGGACATCCACATCGACTTGAAGATGTTCTTGTTTCATGTAACAAGCTTAGAAGCTATTCACCAAACAGACCAAGTAAAATCCTAAAGATGGCACGTTTCTGTTTGATTCTTACTATCTATGTTGTACATTGAAATACAGGGATACATTAAGTTTTCCTAATCAATCTGATAAGCTGTGATTCAGGAAAAAGTGAGAATATTGCACTAGGCTTCCCATAAATGGAATAAATATTTCAGGGATAGGTTTTATGGGGATCCACATGCTTGCAAGTTGCAACTAGTCATCACAATGATTGTGAAACACAATATATCTTTTTGGTGTATTCAATTAAAGTCTTTGTGCACGCTAAATTTATAATGAAATCGAGGATCACTTGATAAGAAAACGAATATTCGTGAATGTGTGCATCGATATTTGTCAGCTGTTTCTCAAATTTCAGATTAAGCATACCAACCTTACCATCTATTCTGCTATTCATTTAATGTGCTGAACAATTTGGTATCCAGGCAGAAACGAAGATTTCTCTTTCAAACCTGGCAACAATTACTAGGAGTCATGTTGTAGCTCTAGCCTGATTCCATGTTCACTGTTGGTCTTTATTTATTGGCAAATACCCATCGATTACTTTTTCGACAATGATGTAGTTTCTTGTTGTAGATACGGCTTGCAATGCATACAAGATTGTTTATTTGATGCTAATTAGTGATGCACCAGCTTGATCACGGTGCAAATTTTTGTCTATTTTTCCGTTCGATTAAATTTTTAACCAAATATTCACATTTAGTTTTCTTTCATTCATGTAAATCACTAATATTGTTTATTATTTGCTGACGTGTCTTTTATGCTCAAATGGGGCATTCATTTTCTGATGAAGTAAAGTAACTATTCACCCAATAAGGAATCTTTTGTTACCCTTTTGGTGGCTTTCTGTTGTGTTGATGAATTTGAACTTGGAAAAACCAAAAATGGTTCTTCGCAGCTGTGCCTGTACCAGTGACTGATTGCATTTATTTATCTTTCCACTTTCCAGAGCGTGACTCCTCATTTGTCATTGGGTGGTGAAATATTCTGGGCTGGTCAACATCGGAAATCTGGCCTTGGTTATGCAGCTCGTTACAGCACTGACAAGATGGTACTTCTTTCTGGAAAATCGTTCAATAGTTTATTTTTGTTTAATATCTTTTCTCCCTTCAAAATTTTCTTTCTACTGTAGATGTATCATTTGAGTCATTTGATGAGAAATGCTTGATGTGGGTTTTATAGATGAAATTATCTAAAATGAAGTCCTTCCAGCTTATTAATATTCTGTTAGAAGAGATAAAGTAGAACAGTGAACTTTGAATTGACTAATAATTAATTGTTTTCTTGTGCTTTGGGTTCCATATATAATTGAGCTATATCCCAGGCCCCTGACATGTTAATTGGACTCCGATGTGCATGATAACTAATGCCTCTATTCAAACATATCATGTTATTTATTTATTTTGGTTATTGTAAGCTATACTTGCTGTAAAGATCTCGTTGTTTGACAAATGTGCTTAGTTCTCATGTTCTTTGTAGATATACTGCTTTGATATTTCTGATAAATAATAAACTACTATCAAACAATTTCAGATGCCTAATCCTGCTTTACTTATATATATGTGTGTGCGCGCACGTGCGTGCGTCATTCAGTCTTTAGATCATCTCTACATGCTTATGAAGATTGAATGGGAGAACATATTCGATGAATGTTTTCTTCGTCCATTTAATAGTTTGATGTGAAAGCAAATCTATTTAATCAACTCCAATAGATGTAATAACCGGTTGCCTTTTAATACAGGTTGCAGCCGGACAAATTGCCAGTACTGGTATGGTTGCTTTAAGCTATGTTCAGAAAGTATCTGAAAAGGTGAACTGGTTTCTGGTTCATTTCATTTTTTGTAAATCTCATTTTGTTTCTTTCTTATGCTTCTTTATTGTTTTGTTGATTTTGTCAACTAAAAGGTTGTCCTTTAATATTTAGGTTTCTCTAGCATCAGACTTCATGTACAATGCTATGTCAAGGGATGTCACAGCCAGCTTTGGATATGATTATATACTACGCCAGGTAATATCTATTTACATAAACTTTAGCAAAAACCGCACATTTTTTTTTTTATTTTTTTATTTAACTCCAAGCGTTTTTGTTGTGTTTGCAGTGTCGTTTAAGAGGAAAGATAGATTCTAACGGTGTCGTGGCTGCTTTCCTGGAGGAGCGTTTTAATATGGGCCTTAATTTTATCCTTTCGGCTGAGGTGGGGAAAAACGGTTTAAACTACCGGATTTATTATCCTTTACTTTTTTTTTTTCATATATATCATGTAATTACGTGTTGGACATTTATTTCTGGCAGATTGATCACAAGAAGAAGGATTACAAGTTTGGATTTGGACTGACAGTGGGAGAATAGAATTTTTATGCACTTCCCATTGGTGTTTTCCATTTCAGCTGATTGTTGCAAGCATCATTTGGGTTCGTTCGGTTTCTTATGTTCGTTCGATAAGAATCAAAGAATCGGTTTTCGTATCTGCCGAATGACATTACTCGTATATACGAGATTCAGATTTATTTTAGTTGATTTTGCAGGTTGGTTTGATTATTAATTTTTTTAAGCTTTTTAGTTAAACTGGGAGAAAGTACATGTTTGGCTGAATATTAAATCAAAGCATTTTGTTTGGCTGGATATTTTTTTTTTGCTGAGCAAGTTTGTAATTATTTTTCAACATAAAGAGGGTCTAGTTTTGTATCCATTGTTTCTTAATACTTGGAGACAAAATTATTTGATAATTTTGTATCCATTGTTTCTAAAAGATGCTTAGAACCAGCGGCGGATCAAATTTCCCAATGCCTCCTCATTTTACAGCATTCAAATTTCAAGATCTTTTTTTCTTTTTGTTGTATTCTTTCTCTCTTTTAGACTTGTAAGAAAAAAATATACAATATCCATAAAAGAAGAAAAAAAACCAGCGGCGAACAAGAATTTCAAAGTTTACCTAAAAAAATTTGCATGTGTGAAGGATCTTATATTTGTGTTTATTTTTTCCTCTTCGATGGTGAATTAATTTATTGACATTTTGCAAATAGTTGCCTTAAGTGTGTGGAGATGAACGGAAAACTTCAAACTTGAAAATTTTAATTATTTTATTGTGCCTGAATAATTGATATTTTCCAAGTGACTATCAAAATTCAAAACAATATTTGAATTTTGAAGTATTCTTGGTTTGTCCCCACACCTTAAAATTCCACACCTTATCCAATGTTGTCCCCATTAAATGAACCTTATCACATCGCATGGATATTTCTTCTTACAAAAATAAATTCTGTCAACATCAACACATATAACAAAGGAAAAAGAAAAATGTTATGCAACCACAAAAATTTATCACTGCACTTGGTTAAGATGTGCCTACTCTTCATAATTTTTAATAATGAGTTTTAATAATCTCCCATCATTTATTTTCAGTTGCTAATTAGATGAACTATGAACTCTCTTACATTTGATAAAAACATTATTAAAGAAATCTCACGGGTTTAATTAATAGATCAGTTTTTAAGGTTTTTTAACTAGCACGAAAATTTTCTAAAACAACCACAGCAGCAAAAAAGAAATGATATTATAAGCTACTCTCACAAATTATTCACTTTAACCTTTTCATTGTTTTGTTGAATACCCAACTACGAATCTTCACAACTGCTGGAGTATTTTGCAGAAAAGGAACCAAAAATAGTGGACACGTGGTCGGCTGAGATGCCATGAAAGTGTCATAAAAGAATCTTTTTTTTATGAACCTAACTGGTAATAATATAGTCACAAGTGGGTAATGATAATATTATTATAATTCTTGTAATAGATAATGATAATAAATTATTAAGCATGATAGAGAGGATTCTTTATTTAACTGATTTTTTGTTGGGTGGACGTGGATAAAAACTAAAAAGGGCGGCCATAGCGTATCTGAGGAAGGTTTTCTGGTTTCTTGGCTATCTTTTTT